CAAGCAAGCAAGCAAGCAAGCAAGCAAGCAAGCAAGCAAGCAAGCAAGCAAAAAAGGATGGAAGGGTAGAAAGGGAAGGGAGGGACGGAGGGAAGAAAGAGAGGGAGGGAGGGAAAGAAGAAAAAAGAAAATTAAATTAAGAATAAAAAAATCAATCGAAGGAAAAAATTACCTCTACACTATAATTCCCAGGCTGGACATCTATCTCAAAGTCATACGTCCAGTTGTATGCCGAACAGTTCATTTCCAATTTTTCATTGACTGTCACAGTCTTACCAAACGCGAGTAACTTTAGAACGACTGGACAGGAAGGACAGATGAGACCTCTGCAGCAGAACTTGTACGAAGCTGAGGAGATGGAAAATAATGTGGATTCGCAGCGTGCGCAGTAAAGATAATTATGGCCTTCGTTTCCAATCTCGTTTCCGCATGCGCAGTAAGAAAGAGTAAGAAATAACGGCTCTGGGAATGAGATTGATTCGTCTCCGTGCAGACAAAAAGAATCGCAGGCTTAACTGATGAAAGCGGATGAACAAAAAGCTATAATCAAGGACTCGTAGTATGCCAATAGTCTTACATAACAGCTTTTTATATATTCTACCAGATCAGGAAACTTCTATCGAACATACCTTTGATCGTAAAGTTTGACCCAAGACCTACTCGTGTGCTCGAGTTCTCCACGTCGAACTGAAGGTCTCTAACACCTTGTAAGAAGTAAAATCGATAAATATTTCAAGGCACAGCTACCTCACAGATCGAATTAACGTGTTGGATTTGCAGGAGGAAAACTGAGTAAAACCCTGAGAAAATCCTCCAAATCAAGGGAGACCACACAAAGACTACTCACATTTGATACCGAGTTTGGGAATTAAGAGGTGAGAGACGAGTGCACTAATTCTACGCTACCCTTAATTGATTCTTACTCGTCATTTATGGAAACCATGACATCACTTGCAGAAGCGATGTTGCCCCCCACCCCTCTCCTCAGTGCTACTCACTAATGATAAAAGCTATCGTTGCTTACCTGGCTTTACCGAGTAAAGAATGGATGAAGGGATGGTTTGTGGGTTGTGATCATGAGGAGTGCTGTACACGATGCCAAGTCCACCATTAAAGGGTGATGTCATGTAGACTTCCATGTAGTACAGGAAACATTTGCTCAACGTAACCTTCTTGTTATCCTTCGGCATCCTGAACGAAAAGATAATATTTTACCTAATTCTTGTAAGTGAATCTGGAGTACACGAAATCCAGCGTTCATTGATTGGAATTTGGAATGCGCGGAATTTCGAGTCGATGACCTAGAATCAGTGATTTTTGATTTTTGATTTGATTTTTTTTGAAAAATTCCAGCATAAAATTACTAGTTATGAATATTATAATCAAATTAATAGGATAAAAGCCGCAAATTCGGTGTTAAAAAGTTTTATCGATCCGCGATCCACTTAACCGACGTCCAGTCCAGTCCAACTATGCCCGGTTCCAAATTTTCCAAAATAAAAAATCTCTCAAAATTCAGAAAACAAGGCACAGAAATCAAATTTTAGATGTTGGACATGTTTTTGCTGCACACCAAGATTATGTATACCCTTTCAAAAGAAAGTAATTCGACAATTTTTTTTGGCAATTCAAGATCTATTATACCTATATATTTATATAGATATTTTTCCTGACATTTTTTCAAGTTGTCTATCAGTGGGGCTTACTGAAAACAATATTAGACATGATATCCATAGTTTTGATATACTTGTGTGTGTGTATTATATATACCTGGTATTTTTTCCTTACATTTTTATGTTATCATGAAATGTTGTTGATTCAACTTTGATTATCAAGTCGTCATCGCTCCCTCTCTCATCCATTCCTGGCTCCTCAACTCTTCGTATCCACACTTCACAGTTTTCAGCGCATTCACTGACGCCAATAGTGTACTGTCCTTGATCAGAAACCTGGAGCAATGAAAAGGAAGATATTTAAAACAGAGGGAAAATAGGGTGGGGAAAAGTAGAAGACAATAATGAAGGAAGGAAAAGAAGGAGGAGAAGGAGGAAGAGAAGGAGGAGAAGAAGGAATAGAAGGAGTAGAAGGAGTAGTAGAAGAAGAAGAACTAACAGGAGAAGAAGAGGAAGAAGAAGAAGAAAGAGGAGGAGAAGGCGGAGGAGGAGGAGGAGAAGAAGGAGGAGGAGGAGAAGAAGGAGGAGGAGGAGGCGGAGGCGCAGGAGGAGGAGGAGGCGGAGGCGGAGGAGGAGGCGGAGGCGGAGGAGGAAAAATTCATCATAAAAATAAAATCCAAGAAAAGACTTACTAATTCAGCTGTAATTCTTACCATTAAAAAGCCAGTCTGTTTAATAGTGTCACCATGTAACGTATAAGGGAAATATTTGAATTCAAATGTAGGCAACCCCTGAGATGAGATGTCAGGAGTCTTGTCCAACAAATAGTTGAATTTTAGAATAGAACTTTCGTTAGGAGAGATGTACTGATTCCATCGATAATTTAAAACACCGTGCGCATCTTTCCAGGAATCTTTAAAGAAGATAAAGATAGGATAGTGTATGTATCAATGTATTCTACTGAGTAGATTAAGGCAGAAGGGATGAATCACGAGACACAGCGCTGCAGCATTGATCAATTCACACACACGAACACACAAAAAACGAAACGAAACAAAATAAACGAAATCATAACAAGATATGGATACGAAACAAACTAAAATAAAACGAGACGCAACCAAACCAAAAAGAATAAAAAAGTAAAACAAAATCATAAAATGTGGGAACGAAACAAACTAAAATAAAACGAAACGAAACGCAACCAAACCAAATA